GATTTGAGAGCAGGTGGGAAGGGAAGCTAAGCCAGCGCCCTGGTTCCCTCGGGCCCTGCCTGGCTGGCAGGTCCCCTCTGCTGACAGCTGTCGCTCAGACGTTGCCCTACACGCCTTGTGCCTCTTGGGAGAACCAGCCAGGGCCAGCGTTTGAGATCCAAGAGAGAATCTGTAAATTAGAGTGAAAAGTAGTTCTCTTCAAAAAATGCTGCCAACGCCTGTGTAAATTTGGTACATTTCTTCTGAACACAATCTGTCGATGTGTCAGAAGCAAAAACAAAATGCTGAGGTTCTATTCAGAAAGACTTTATTAAACAGTCCCTTTTCTCCCCTCACCCCCTTTCTGGGAATGATGGGTCTGTGTAGGAGGTGATGTTGATGATAATGCTGTCTATAAAGGTGAAACTTTGGGTGCTGCTCAGATATTGGCCCCCTGGCATGGTCTGCTTGGACCAGGCAGTGCCTCTTTGTGGAATATTATACAGCCACTAAAAATGATGATTCTTTTTAGTTTTACCCTAGTGCTACATGGAATCTCAGCCTCAGCTTCAGTCTGGGGTCTGCAGAAAAGAGCAGGCCTTGATAGAAAAAATAATATGAACAATGTTTATTAAATTGTGGCTAATTTGGCCTGGTCCCCAAACCCACTTCTAATGATTGTTCTCTTCTGTCTTCTTTTTACTGTAAATATGATGTTTGTCCAAGGTGTAAAATACCAGAAAGCAAATCTGGGTCAATGACAGTAAGCTAAGGGTGGCTTTTACTTTTCTTGGTTTCTATTACATTTGTGTAGGAAAAAAACAACCCTTGTAGGGTGTGGTGGTCTGAAATTATAGTCCTAGCTATGGGAGAGGCTGAGGCAGGAGCATCCTTTAAGTCTAAGAGTTGGAGGCCAGTAAGCATACAAAAATAAAATAAAAAATTAAAAAGCCATAAAACCACCTAGAATTTGCAGCAGATACTGTATAAAAGAGAGAAGGAAAGTAGGAATGAGGTTAATAATGCACGCATTGGGGGTGGGGTGGGGTGGAGTGGGGGAGTTGGGAGCAGCAAGTGAAGCAGAGGGGAGCATTTGTGAGAGGAGCAGGGAGATCAAGTCAAGTCCAAGTGCTATGCTACTCCTGCAGCTATTCTTGCTAAATCTTTATTACCTGGTGTTCACTACGTTATTTCTCCAATGTCCGCATACCTCTCATTTTTTTAGACTACAGGAAATGATAAAGGAAAAGAAAGCATCTGTTTGCTTTCCTCCCAGCCTACAGGAGGGAGGGAATCTGCCACATTCCTTGCAGGGCAGAATTAGGTTTAGGTTTAGCTCTTTTCACCCAGAGAGTGGTGGGGTCCCTCCTAGGTGAGATGCGGAGAGGCCACTGATGCCTTGGCTCCTTGCAGGGACCTCTGAAAGTGGGGGGATAGTTCCCCCTGTTAACTGGGCTTTTAGGGGAGACACGGAGCAGGAAGGGACTGAGAGAAAAGTGAGAAGTGTTAGTCCTTCAAGTGTCTACTGAGCCCCCAGGGCCTGGCAGGACAAAGGCAGGAGGATGTAGAAGTCCAGGCAGGGTCTCTTCCCTGTTCATGATAATGATTTTGGGGGTACAGGAGGGTGCAGGTCCCAGCCAGCACCTGATAGAGTCAAGATTGCTTAATATGGAACTCTTAATGCTAGAATCTTATCTTTGGGAAACTGTTAATTGGTGCATGATGGCATGTGGCTGTAGTCCTAGCTACTCGGGAATCTGAGGCAGGAGGATTGTTTGAGCCCAGGAGTTCAAGGCCAGCCTGGGCCACATAGTGTGACCTCATCTCAAAAAAAAAAAAAAAAAGTTACCCAGCATACTGAAAAGATGCACACATTCATAGCTGACCACACTGAAATAATTGCTTGAAATATCCTTTTGCTTCTGGCAGGAAGTTTCATGAATTCACATGGGAAGAAAGTCTGAATATGTTTCATGTACCCTGTTTGAATTCTGCATGCCCTGAGTGTGTTTAGTGAACAGGTATGTGACACACCATGTGCCCATGTGCCTTATTATGTCTGCGGGCATCCAGGATGATGAACCCTAAGCTTGCAGGACTCAAAGGAGGGCAGAAACTGGTCAGATACGAGGCAGGTGGCAGCAGGGTGAGGGCAGCCAGAGGCCTTTGGGCAGGGGATCAACATTAGCAAAGAGCAAGACAGGACTGGGACTCAAGTTAAATCGTTCAAACTAGAAAATGGTGTACATCTTATCTGTACTTGACTCTGGGTTTTTATGGGGATCATATCAAACATAATCTGGTTTCGTTTCCCCTCTTTGCTGCCCTCCGGGGGAGAATTCAGGCCCTTGGTTATGTCTCTTATGGATGCATGAGAGGTTGGGGTATCAGTCACTTTGGACACCAAGATGGCAGGTCTGACCTGCCCAGGGGACAGGGTGGACATGGATATGGATTTGCAGTGTTCGGGTCACTAGCTTCTGCCTGGGGACAGCTACCTCTCTAGCAGGAAGAATCAAGACCCAAAGGCTGATGTTTGGACGGTCATGTTTCTGGCAAATCCTCCACCACCTCTGTGGCCAAGAGAAAGTTGGCAGCCTCCATGTAAACTTTCAGTAAAGCTTCAGGGATAGGATTGACCTTGGAATTGGTATGCAGTTCCTGGTGATAGTGTGTGTTTGTAAAACAAGTTCCAACAATTGTTCAACAATTAGTTTTTACATTTCAAGTCAGGTATTTCCTAGAATTGCGAAACTGTCCCCTCCCAAGTTCTCTCTTTTTCCTTCACAAGTGCTTTGATCTTAATACACTCTTGTATTTATGTACATAGGATGATACTCTTTGTGTTTAGATCACTACTGGGCTCACAGCACAGCTCTGACTCACACTGGGTTTGTGAATGAACTTTCTGAGGCTCAGTTTTCCCTCCTACAAAGATGGGGCTATGATGGTGGCCCCCTCATAGGGCGATCAGGGTTAAATCTCATTTATAAGGAGCTTAGCACAGTGCCTGGCACAGAGTTAGCTTTGAGTAAATGGTATCTATTATTATGTGTACCGGAAGAAAAGCTGTACTGAATCGTTGGCAGCATTTATTTCCAGTGGGGGGATTATGGTTAGGATGAACATCTATTATTTTGTCATCAGAGAAAAAAGAACAATAAATGGTATTATTAACCTAAAAATCTGGCTTCTGCTTTTCATGAAGGAACCTGTAGTTAATGTCAGTAAAGCAACTGTTAAAACACAGCTTCTGGCTTTATAAAAAACTTTAAAGCAGGTATTATCTACCTGTCCCAATCAATGAATATGTGCTCTAATAAAGGGAGATACTTGGTAAGGAATCTTCAGGTCACACAGGGATTCTGAGAGGGTAACTCCCATAAGAGGGATTTCTTTCCCATTGGCTGAAATCTGACTCCCCAGGGAAGGATACCAGGAGAGTGACATTTACTCTATTGAGCCTTCACTGCAGTCTCAGAAAATAAAACAGGCTCTAGCCCACTTCCAGATGGGGGATTGTTACTGTCCTAGTCTGGCATCTAGGACATTGCAAGGCCCAGCCCCTTGGCTCCTTCTCCAGAGGAGATTCTTGACTGCTAGCCCAGTACCCAGGCAGCAGTGGCAGGAGGCGACCCCTCCAGTGCCCTCCTGGGCCATCCCCTCCCAAACAGGAAGGGGCAGAATGCCCACCACGCTCGGGTTATCTGCGGGACCATCAGCTTGCGCCAGGCTGGCTTCTGAGCTACTGCTGTCTGTCTCTTCCTTCCACACACTGGGGGTGAGGGGTGCAACTGGTGCTGACTCCAGAACAAAATGCTGCCTCTGTTCCAGAGACAAAGAACAGAGTGGCTCCTCTGGTCAGCTGTCCCTCTGGCTAGTGTCCCCTGCTCTCCTCCAGGCCCTTTTGGAGACTCTCAGGCACACCCTGAGAAAGGCCGGCTGGGGCTGGGGCTAGGGCTAGGGCTAGGCAGGGATCTGCTGCCCGCCCCCTGGACCTGTTTTCACTGGAGCTCAGGGTGGGGGTATGTGGGGGTGTTTACCTTAACCCCAAGCAGCTCCCAGCTGAAAGGTTCATTTGCTGGGGTGGGGTGGGGGGCCTCCTAGGCAGGGGGCAACCTGGCCAAAGTATGGGTACTAGAGGCGGTGAGAACATACATGCGAGTGGCACGGCACATGTGCCAGAGTACATGGGAGCCTGTGAAAGTGTGTACCTGTACTACCTGTGTGCAAGGACACATGTGCATGCTAGAACGGGAAGAAAACATGCTTTTGCCTGAGAGCCTGTGTGCAAAATGTGTTACGTATGTGTACTGGCTGGAGAGAGTGAAAGTTTTCTATTCGGGTGTGACGCTGTTGGTACGGATGCAAGTGTGAGCTGTTTAGGGGTCTGCTGCCCGCCCAGGTAGAACCCTAGAGAGCGAGCTCTGAGGGTGCCTGTGTAAAGGCTTGTGTGCAGCATGTGTTGGAAGAAAAGGGTGCGAGCCTGTTCAGGAAGGCACGAGTGTGTATGTGCCAGAGGGTGGGCACACACGTGTGCATCAGCGTGTGCGTGGGGACAAGCGCTCTAGAGTGTGCATGAGGGAACGCGCCACCCCCTCCCCGCCGGGTACAGCCAGTTGCCATGGGAACGGGCCGCGGCCCGAGTTAATCATTTCCTGTGGAAAGTGAATGGGAGGGGAGGGGCGGGAGCGGGGCGGGCCGAATTCAGGGAGGAGGCAGCAGCGTGGAGCTGCCTTCAGCCGGCGG